AGGCTCTCCTGGTACTGGATGATGAAGTACTCTTGGGTCTGCTGCAGCTTCTTCAGCTCGTTCTCCGTGTCCTGTGTGATCAGGCGCAGCTCCTCAAACGTCTGGTTGATCTGGAGGTGCTTCTGGGACATGGCGTCAACCAGGACACCAGCAGGGGAGCTGCACTGGGGACAGAAGAGGTTGAGTGAGCTGGGTGGGCAGTGGTGGGGTACACATAGCTTTGAACCCAGTACTTGGGAGGCAGAGGTAGGTGGATCTCTACGAGTTCCAGGACAGCCAGGGCTATGCAGAGAAACCCTGTCTCAGAAAACCAAACAAATAAGGATAGAGTCAAGGAAAGTGATGAGAGCTGTGTGTCAGGCAGAAAGAAGGGGACCAACACCAGACCCCCCAAACTCCAAATCTGGGATTAGAAGGGAGGGCTAGAGGATAGTCAGTGCCAGAATTGGAGCAGAAAGGAAAAGGAGAAGTTAAACAAGGGGCCTGGCAAATAACGGAGAGTCTGCGGCGGAAATTTCCGTGTCCAATCTGGTTTACACTAGAGAATATGGAGAGTCCATCAAATCTCCTTCAGAGAAACTAGGAGGGAACACTGGCAGGCATCACATGATCTCCCTAAGGATGATCAATTCAATTCCTCAAGTCCATAGTTATCAGTTGATGCAATGCCACTGAGCACGCTAAGTGCTGGGGACAAGTAAGAGACGGAACCCATGCACGTACACAGCCTTTGCATCCTCACACCTGGAGGGACAGGGAAAGAGGCAAACCTGTCACAGGAGGCATCCTGGAGACCCCTAAGATAAAGTGACAGACAGAGATATCACAAATGTCTCTTTGAATTTCGCCATGCCCACAACATCTGGTTGAGAGGCAACCATGTGTTCAGGGACTTTCCAACAAAGTGTTCTCAAAATAAAATCCGAACTCCTCGGCCCGGCTTTAGCCAGCCTGGCAGGTGGCCTCTGTGTCATCCCAGCTTGCCTGTTGCCAAAGCGCAGCAGGTATGTGTGCTTTTCTGAATCTGTTCCTTCAACCTCAAATACGCCTGCCCCAGGGCCCTTGCAGTTGGTATGCAATCAGCCTGGAGCATTCTGGCGGCAGATCTTCCTGAGACAGTCACTTCAACCCCGTATTGTAGACACAGAGTTTCTCAACCCAGGTGAATTCTTTTGTGTGATTTATAGGTGACTCTGCAATCTCAACAGTTCGGGGATGTGGAACTGGGCTGGGGGGGTGCAGTGCCTGGCTCTGGAGTCCGTGCCCATTGTAGTACTCCACTTGGTTCTCTTGCTGTGTTAACTGCTTGCAAGTCTTCAGCCATAAGGCATCACTGACACCTTCCTGCCCCAAAGTGTCCATCCTCAGCATGCATACACATCCATTTAATCCTGAGGATAACCTTATCATGAAAGCACTATTACTATAGCCATTTTACAACAGTGGGAGCTGGGGCAGCATTGGTAGAGCACTTGCTTAGCAGGTTCGAAGCCCTGGGTCATCATTAGCAGCCAGGAAAGGAAGAAGAAAGAAAAGAAAGCAAAAGATGAAAAAGAAGCTGGAGAGATGGCTCAGCATGAAGAACATGTATATTTGCTCTTGCAGAGAACCCAAATTTAGTTCCCAGCACTCATAGATAGGCAGCTACAACTACCTGTAGCTCCAGGGGATCTGATGCCTTTAGTTTCCAAGGTCACTTGCACAGGAGGTTAAAAAGTTAAAAGTAAGGTAAATCTTACTTTTGAGGAAGGCAGAGAAAGGGAAGGAAATGAAAGAAAAGAAGAATTAGAAGCTTAGCGAGCCAGGGACTGGGCCCAGGGGGTCACTCTGTCCACAGCCTGATATACACCATCTCTCCTCTTAGCCACATTACATAAACACGGTGGGATCTAGAGAGGAAGTCATGTGAAGGCCTCCCCATCTCTTCCCCCCACGCCTACAGACACTCACATTGTTGGCTTCTCGAACCAGCCTCTGTTCATTGTACAGAATGTGACGGATACAGCGAACCAGCTCCATGGGACAGCGGTCATAAGTGTTCTGAAAGAGGACACAGGAACCACCAATGGCCACCTGGTTCTGACCACGCTGGCTTCCTTGCTGTGCCCATTCCCTCCTCTCTCCTAAGGCTCAGTTTTTCCTGGGGAGCCCCAGGATTATCAGACACCTCCAACTTTCCTTTGACCCCGCCTCCCAGAACTTCTTACTAGGTTTATAGTGATTTAGAAACTCACAGTCCACAACACAAAGCGCTTCCAACCTCATACCAGCTTTGACTCTCTTGAGCATGGAAATCCTACGACAGAAACTCAAACTGTTCTCAAGTCATGGATGGGAAAATTGATGTTCAGATAGGCTAGGCATGTGTCCTGAGGCAAATGAGAGAGACGGACAGACAGATGGAGACAGACACAGAGACAGAAAGACAGAGACACAGAGACAGAGACACAGAGAAAGAGACAGAGACACAGAGAAAGAGAGAGAGAGACAGAGACAGACAGACACAGAGAGACAGAGACACAAAGAAAGAGACAGAGACACAGAGACACAGAGACACAGAGAAAGAGACAGAGAGACAGAGACACAAAGAAAGAGACAGAGA